GGATCTTGTGGCAGAGTTGGTAGTAACAGCAGAAACCTGCTGTTAGGAATGCAACTAACAAAGAGCTGAACAAAGCTGCTACACTGGCTATAAGCAGGGTCCCTCAGCACTGGAGAAGTTGATGGCACCAGTCCTAAAGGTAGAGGCCGACATGGCGGAGAGGGGGCATTCACAATCAAGAGGAGGCCTGTCTTGAGAGGCCTGAGAGGAGGCCTGTATGGCTGAGAGGGGGTGTACATGGCAGAGAGAAAGTCCTCCTTGTCCACCTGGCTGAGAGGAGCTGAGAGTGCTGATGTGCACTGAAGAAGGGAGGGATGTGCACTCTACTTCAGGGAAGCATTCCAGGCCTCTCCTATGTGCTTCCTGATCCTGAGTTGTAGCCTGTTGATCCTGATCCTGAGTTGTACCCTGTTACTTCCTAAATGTGACAAACACTTTAAGGAGTAAGATGTCACTAAGGATTAAGGTGCCCCTGACCCAAGCCAAGGTGTTCAATCGCCTCATATGCATGCGAGAGCTGGACAATGAATAAGGAAGACCAAAGAAGTAATGTCTTTGAATTATGGTGTTGGCAAAGAATATTGAATATACCACGGACTGCCAGGAGAACAAACAAATCTTTCTCGGAAAAAGAACAGCCTGAATGCTTCTTAGAAGCGAGGATGGCGAAACTTCATCTCACATACTTTGGACATGGTATCAGTCCCTGGAGAAGGACATTGTGATGGTTAAGATTGTGTGTCAACTTGGCTGGGCCATGATTCTCAGTGTTTATGTGTGACCACCCCCACGATGGAATCTGCTGTGAGTAGCCAGTCAGTTGAAAGGGAGTTTCCTTGGGTGTGTGGCTTGGATCCAAATATAACTGGATGTTCTGGCTTTTGCCCTCTCTGGATCCTGCAGCTGCCTATTCGTTTGACTTCTGGTGCTTGGGACTTGAGCTAGCAGCTTACCTGATGAACTTGGGATTCACTGATCTGCACAACCTGTGAGCAAAAGCCCTGCTCTCTGAGCTGCTGATCTTGGGTTTGTCAGCCCCTGTAGCTACTTGAATCAGGAGAAGTTTTCTGGTCTTGCCTGCTGATCTTGGGATTTGTCAATTTTCACAGCCTGTGACCAAGAGCCCTGCTCTCCAACTTGCCAATCTTGGGTTTGCCAGCTGCTGCATCTACGTGGATCAGGAAGACTCTACCCTGGTCCAGACTTGGGATGTTCCACCTCTACAACCACATGAGCTGTTTTCCTTGATATAAATATATATACATTTATATGTTTTACTGGTTTTGCTTCTCTAGAGAACCTAGACTAAGACAGTCATGCTTACTAGAGGGTCAGCCAAAAAGAGGAAGGCCCTCAATGAGATGGACTGACAGTGGCTGCAACAATGTGCTCAAGCATAACAGTGATCGTGAGAATGGCACAGGACAGGGCAGTGTTTCATTCTGTTGTACATAGGGTCACTATGAGTCGGAGCAGACTCAATGGCACCTAACAATTTCCTAACAAATCAATTAAGTATGGTCTGTGAGTTCTGTATGGCCATTATGGATTATCAAAGCCCGAAGTGAAGAGTGCCATGAGGGACAGCTAGTATCACAATTGGTAAAAAGGATGGAGAGTGGTGGTTTGACCTCTACCTCATAGGAATCAACTTTGGGCTGATCCTGGTTCTTATCATAAAGGTATCTAGACAAAGTCTGCTGCTGCTGCTACTACTACTACTAGAGCACAGCATTAAATCCTGCCCTCTTGAACACTCACACAAATCCTTTTTTCCTTTTTTTATTGTTGTACTTTAAGTGAAAGTTTACAATTCAAGTTAGTTCTCAAACAAAAATTGATACATTGTTATGTGACCCTAGTTGCTCTCCCTATACTGTGACAGCACACTCCTCCTTTCCACCTCTGATTTCCCATGTCCATTCAACCAGCTCCTGACTCTCTTTGCCTTCTCATCTCACCTCCAGACAGGAACTGCCCATTTAGTCTCATGTATCTACTTGAGCTAAGAAGCACACTCTTCCCAAGTATCATTTTATGTCCCATAGTCCAGTCTAATCTTTGAAGAGTTGGCCTCAGGAATGGTTTTAGTTCTGAGTTGACAGAGAGTCTAGGGGCCATGCTTTCTGAGGTTCCTGCAGGCTCAGTCAGACCATTAAGTCTGGTCGTTTCACTAAAATTTGAGTACGGCACCCCACTTTTCTCCTGTTCTATCAGGGACTCTGTTGTGTTCCCCATCAGGACAGTCATTGGTGGTAGCTGGGCACCATCTAGTTCTTCTGGTCTTAAGCTGATGCAATCTCTGGTTTATGTAGCCCTTTCTCTTGCGCTAATACTTTCCTTGTGTCTTTGGCGTTCTTCATTCTTTTACTCCAGGTGGATTGGGACCAATTGATGCATCTTAGATGGCTGCTCACTAGCTTTTAAGACCCCAGACACCACTCACCGAAGTAGGATGCAGAACATTTTTTTAATAAACTGTTATGCCAATTGAGCTAGATGTCCCCTGAAAACATGGTCCCCAGGCCCCCACCCCTGCTACTCTGTGCCTCAAAGTGTCTGGTCATATTCAGGGAATTTCTTAGCTTTTAGTCCAGTTGTGCTGACTTTCCCTGTATTGTGTGCCTCCCCTTCACCTAATTCTTATCTACTATCTAGTTAGTGAATAACCTTCTCCCTCCCTCCCCACCCTCGTAACCATCAAAGAATGTTTCCTTCTGTGTTTAAATCTTGAGTTCTTATAATAGTGGTCTTATACAATATTTATCCTTTTGCGACTAAATTCACTCAGCATAATGCCTTCCAGATTCACCCATGTTATGTTTCATGGATTCATCGTTGTTCATCATTACGTAGCATCCCATTGTGTGAATATACCATAATTTGTTTATCCATTCGTCTGTTGATGGGCATCTAGGTTGTTTCCGTCTTTTTCCTATCGTGAACAGTGTTGCAATGAACATGGGTGTGCACATATCTACTCATGTGACGGCTCTTATTTCTCTAGGATATATTCCAAGGAGTGGGATTGTTGGATTGCATGCTACTTCTATTTCTAGCTTTTTAAGGAAGTGCCAAATCAGTTTCCAAAGTGGTTGTACATTTTACATTCCCACCAACAGTGTATAAGTGTTCCAGTCTCTCCACAACCTCTCCAACATTTATTGTGTTTTTTGAATTAATGCTAACCTTTTTGGGTTGCGATGGTATCTCATTGCAGTTTTAATTTCCATTTTTCTAATGGTTAATGATCGTGAGCATTTCTTCATGTGTCTGTTAGCCGCCTGAATGTCTTCTTTGGCGAAGTGCCTGGTCATATCCTTAGCCCATTTTTTAACTGGGTTATTTGTCTTTTTGTGGTTGAGGTTTTGTAGTATCTTGTAGATTTTAGAGATTAGACTCTGATTGGATATGTCATAGCCAAAAACTTTTTCCCTGTCTGTAGGTTGTCTTTTTACTCTTTTGGTGAAGTCTTTTGATGAGCATAAGTGTTTGATTTTTAGGAGCTCCCAGTTATCTAGTTTCTCTTCTGGTGTTTGTGCATTGTTACTTATGGTTCGTATTGTGTTTATGCCATGTATTAGGGCTCCTAGCGTTGTCCCTATTTTTTCTTCCATGATCTTTATCATTTTTGATTTTATATTTAAGTCTTTGATCCATTTTGAGTTAGTTTTTGTGCATGGTGTGAGGTATGGGTCTTGTTTCAGTTTTTTGCAGATGGATATCCAGTTCTGCCAGCACCATTAGTTAAAGAGACTGACTTTTCCCCAATGAACGGACTTTGGGCCTTTGTCAAATACCAAATCCTGCTTTCCTTGAACACTCACACAAATCACCAAACAATTGCCCCATTCTGAAAACTACTCCTTTTAAACACCCTGTGACAGAGCCCTACTACAATCCTTTATCGTGTGCTCGTTCCAACTGCTGCAACTCAATACACTCAATTTTCTTTAACTACAGGTGTGATCTGAATGGATTTTGTCTACAGAGCATTGAAAAGCCTTTTTTTTTTACTTTTAACAATGGTTAAGAAATCATTGTAATAACAAATAATGTATAAAAGAATGAAAAAGTAAGATTTACATGAAAGAAAAATGCCTGAACTCATATGCACCTAGTAATACTGACTCGGAATGTGCAATACTTAAATTGAAAAACTTTGGGTTGATTTGAAATCTATCATTACAATAGGATCTTTAAATATATACTCTCAGTAAAGAGAAAGTAAATTACAAATATCTCCCGAGTATTTATTGGGAAGTAGAATGCAATAAAGACACTGGCAATTAAAAAAAAAGATTCAGGAAGAAAAGTAGACTACGTGTAATATGTAACTCATATCAAGTATCTACCACAGTAAACCTATTAAAAAATCCAAACAAATGCCACATTGTTGTTCTAATAATCATTACTTATAAAACCTCATAAAAAACACATACAAGTTAAGCCTACATTTATTAAAAATAAATCTTAAAACATCCATAAGTCTACGGAATTCAAACTAGAAAAACTTACTAAATAAGAAAATAAGAAAAAACATCACCTGTCAAAATTTGTGGAGCCCTGGTGTCACAGTGGTTAAAGGGCTTACCTGCTAACCAAAAAATTGGAAGTTTGAACTCACCAGCCACTCCACAGAAGGATGTGGCAGTCAGCTTCCATAAAGATTTATAAGCTTGAAAAACCTGTAAAGCAGTTGTACTCTGTCCTGTACCATACCTATAAGCCACAAGAGACTGGACGGCAACGGGTTTGTTGGTTTTTTTTTGGTCAAAGCTAACATACTATAGTGAAAAAAAAAATACATACAGAATTCTTTCTCCCTTACTGTTTATTTCTGAAAACTAGTATGTAGAAATACACGATCTATACGTCCACTTTAAGGATGAGGTACTGATAAAGGCAATAAAACATAATTTTTATGAGATTTTTCTCCTCATGTGAATTTTCTAGAGCATGATTAATGAATTACTTTTCAGGAGGCTTTCCTACCTTACATTTATAATATTCTTCTCTAGTATGTGTTCTCATATGATATTTTAAAGCTGAAGAAAATGCAAATGCTTTCCCACATTTCTTACATTCATATGGTTTCTCTCCAGTGTGCATTCTCATATGGACTGGAACAGATAAGGGACTCTTGAAGGCTTTTCCACATTCCTCACATTTGTAAGCTATTTCTTCCCTGTGTGTTCTTATATGTGTTTCTAAAGATATGGGCCATTTGAAGGCTTTCCCACAGAGCTTACATTCATAGGGTTTCTCTCGACTGTGTGTTGTCATATGTCTTCTTAAAGATGAGGGCCAGGGGAAGACTTTCCCACACTCCTTACATTCGTTCAATTTCTTTTCAATGTGAGTCCTTTCATGCCTTTCGAAGGATTTGAGAGAACTGAAGGTACATCCACATTGTTTACATTCATAAAGTTTCTCTTTCCTATGAAACTTTTCATGATTAAGATAGGATGGGTAACGAATGAAGGTTTTCCAGCATAATTCACATGCATAAGGTCTTTCTCCACCGTGAATTCTCACGTGCCTTCTTAGTTCTGATGTAAAATAATAGCATTTCCCACATTCTGAACATTGATATGGTTTGTGTCCGGTATGACGTGCGTTGTGTCTCTTCAATGACCAACAAGACATAAAGACTTTTCCACACTCGGTGCATTCATATGGATTGACTCTAGTAGTTGTTTTCTTGTACTGATTAAGATTTGGAATCTGGCTGAAGGTTTCCCCCCACTGATTACCTTCATTATTTTCACAGAGTTTCTTGACCATATAATCACTGTGAAAACATAGAAGCATGTTATTAATAACATATAAATGATTTATTAATATTTGTTAATAACAATTAGGATTCCATTTTAACCATTTTCATAATGAATATAAATTAGACCTTCCCTATTTTCCAATCTGTCTTGGAACAAGTACAGCTAGAATGCTCCTTAGAAGCAAGGATGGGGAGACTTCATCTCACATACTTTGGACATGTTATCAGGAGGGACCAGTCCCTGGAGAAGGACATCATGCTTGGTAAAGTAGATGGCCAGTGAAAAATAGGAAGAGCCTCAACAAGATGGACTGACAAAGTGGCTGCAACAATGGGCTCAAGCATAACAATGATTATAAGGATGGTGCAGGACCGGGCAGTGTTTCATTCTGTTGTACATACGGTCGCCATGAGTAAGAACCAACTCATGGGCACCTAACAATTTTCTAGCTTATGGGAATTGTTTGAAAGTGGAATAATTTGAATATTTTGAAAGAGGACTAGACCGCAACCATTATTAAAACCGTGTTTCTTATATACATACGCATTTTTTGATTATTGTTTCCAACAGAATTATGTTTCAAACACTCAATGTGTAAGTCAAACTTAATGAAAAATTTGCAGTGAATATTTCTTGTGATAAAACAAAGATGGAGCTGGGCATATCTGGTTTTTTTGCTCATTCATATTTTTTTTTTTTAATTTCATGAAATACTAAGATTCTCTCCTGGTATACTGTGTTCTACTCACCTCAGAGGTATCCCCTGGTTTTTATGATGATGTTCAATGTTAAGGCCTTCACAGATTTTTAGAAAAATGGAAGCCCAAGAGTCATTTCTTCTAAATTTTAGTATTTTATCTTCATTGGATATTTTTTCCTCAGGGGTACTCTCTTGAGAAATGGACCCATTGGCTTTAAATGGAGTCTCATCATCAGAAAGCAAAAAGTGAACAAATCTTACAAGAGGGAAGGCTCCTGTTAGCAAAAAAAGGTTGAGGTATTCAAAGACTTCATCAATAACAGGTACAACAGGTCAAAATGGAAAGCAACTTCAAAGACACAGTAAAATTCTTGCAAAGTTTTCAAAAACAAACTTCTTTGGGCCCCAAAATGACCAGTGAAACCTATATCCACGCTGATGACAGTAAGGAAGATTCAAGTCTTTTAACCGAGACAAAAAGACAAACTCAGTTTAATACATAGATTCTAACCTCCATGATGGTGGTGACCCTGTCTGTCTTACTGATCAATGTATTCCTCCTTTCACATTCCAAATTTTGGAATAGGCCCAATAAGCAAAAAATGCTTGTTAACGTCATCCTTACCTACTGATGCCAAGTTCCTGAAGGTTTCCAGCATCACGTCTCTGTAGAGCTTCCTTTGAGCAGGATCCAGAAAAGCCCACTCCTCCTGAGTGAAGTCCACAGCCACATCCTCAAAGACGACTGACCCCTAAAACATACACCTTATGTACGCAGACTCCTACGCATCTGTCAGTTTGTTGTACTCCAGGGGCTTTCGTGTTGCTGTGATGCTGGAAGCTATGCCACTGGAATTCAAATACCAGCAGGGTCGCCAAGGGCAAACAGGTTTCAGCTGAGCTTCCAGATTAAGACAAACTAGAAAGAAAGACCTGGCAGTCTACTTCTGAAACGAATTAGCCAACGAAAACCTAATGAATAGCAGAACATTGTCTCATATAGTGCTGGAAGATGAGCCCCTCAGGTTGGAAGGCACTCAAAATATGACTAGCGAAGAGCTGCCTCATCAAAGCAGAGTTGACCTTAATGACGTGGATGGAGTCATGCTTTAGGGATCTTCATTTGCTGATGTGGCATGACTCAAAATGAAAAGAAACATGTACCAACATCCATTAATAACTGGAATGTGGAATGTATGAAGTATCTAGGAAAATTGGAATTCATCAAAAATTAAATGTATAAAAATCGATATCCTAGACATTAGTGAGATGAAATGGACTGGTATTGGCCATTCTGAATCAGACAATCATACCGTCTATTATGCTGGCAATGACAATTTGAAGAGGAATGGTGTCATATTCATTATCAAAAAGAACATTTCAATATCTATTCTGAAGTACAATGTTTTCAGTGATAGGATAATATCTATATGACTACAAGGAAGACCAGTTAATACAACTGTTATTCAAATTTATGCACCAACCACTAATGCCAAAGATGAAGAAGTTGAAGATTTTTACCAACTTCTGCAGTCTGAAATCAATCGAACATGCAATCAGGATGCGTTGATAATTACTGGTGATTCGAATGCAAAAGTTGGAAACAAAGAAGAAGGATCAGTAATTAGAAAATATGGCCTTGGTGACAGAAACAAAGCCAGAGATCACATGATAGAATTTTACAAGACCAACGACTTCTTCATTGCAATTACTTTTTTTCAAGAACATAAACGGCGACTATACAAGCGGACTTCGCCAGACAGAATACACAGGAATCGAATTGACTACATCTGTGGAAAGAGGCAATGGAAAAGCTCGATATCATCAGTGAGAACTAAGCCAGGGTTCGACTGCAGAACAGACCATCAATTGCTCATATGCATGTTCAAGTTGAGGCTGAGGAAAATTAGAACAAGTCCAAGAGAGCCAAAGTACAACCTTGAGTATACCCAACCTGAATTTTGAGACCACAGGAAGAACAGATTTGAAGTGCTGAACACTAACGACCAAAGACCAGATGAGTTGTGGAAGGATATCAAGGGCATCATACATGAAAAAAGGAAGAAGTCATTAAAAAGACAGAAAACAAAGAAAAGACCAAAATGGATGTCAGAAGAGACTCTGAAACTTGTTCTTGAACATAGAGAAGCCAAAGCAAACAGAAGAAATGATGAAGTAAAAGAGCTCAACAAAAGATTTCAAAGGGTAGCTCGGGAAGATAAAGTAAAATACTATAATGGCATGTGCAAATACCTAGAGTTAGAAAACCAAAAGGGAAGAACACATTCAGCATTTCTCAAGCTGAAAGAAATGAAGAAAAAATTCAAGCCTTGAGTTGCAATATGGAAGGATTCTACAGGGAAAATATTAAATGATGCAGGAAGCATCAAAAACAGATGGAAGCAATACACAGTCAGTATACCAAAAAGAACTGGTCAACGTTCAACCATTTCAGGAGGTAATATAAGATTAGGAACCAATGGTAATGAAGGAAGAGGTCCAAGCTGCATTCAAGGCACTGGTGAAAAACAAGGCTCCAGGAATTGATAGAATACCAACTGAGATGTTTCAACAAACGGATGCAGTGCTGGAAGTGCTCACTCGTCTACACCAAGAAATCTGGATGACAGCTACCTGGCCAACTGTCAAGGATTGAACTGTGTCCCCCAAAAATATCTGTCAACTTGGCTGGGTCACAATTCCCAGTATTGTATAATTGTGTACCATTTTGTAACCGGATGTGATTTCCTTATGTGTTGTAAATTCAATCACTATGATCTAATAAAATGGATTAGCAGCAGTTATGCTGATGAGGTATACAAGACTGGATAGTGTCTTAAGCCCATCTCTTCCGAGATATAAAGGACAGAAGCAAGCAGAGACACATGGGAATCTCACACCATCAAGAAGGCAGTGTCGGGAGCACAGCGCGTCCTTTGGACCTGAGGTGCCTGCACTGAGATGCTCCCAGACCAAAGGAAGACTGATGCATCACAAGGACCTTCCTCCAGGGCCAACAGAGACAGAAAGTCTTCTCCTGGAGCTGATGCCCTAAATTTGGACTTGTAGCCTACTGTACTGTCAGGGAATAAACTTCTCTTTGTTAAAACCATCCACTTGTGGTACTTCTGTTATAGCAGCACTAGATGACTAAGATACCAACTGACTGGAAGACAACCATATTTATGCCTATTCAAAAGAAAGGTGATCTAACTGAATGAGGAAATTATCGGACAGTATCATTAGTATCACATGCAAGTAAAATTTTGCTGAAGATCATTCAAAAGTGGCTGCAGCAGTACATCGACAGGCAACTGCCAGAAATTCAAGTCAGATTCAGAAGAGGATGTGGAACCAGGGATGTCACTGTTGATGTCAGATGGATCCTGGCTGAAAGCAGAGAATACCAGAAAGATGTTTACCTGTGTACTATTGACTATGCAAAGGCATTTGACTGTGTTGGTCATAACAAATTATGGATAACATTGCAAAGAACACTTAATTGTGCTCAAGAGGAACCTGTACATAGATCAAGAGGCAGTTGTTCAAACAGAACAAGGGGATACTGCGTGGTTTAGAGTCAGGAAAGGTGTGCATCAGGGTTGTATCCTTTCACCATACTTATCCAATCTGTATGCTGAACAAATAATCTGAGAAGCTGGATTATATGAAGAAGAACAAAGCATCAGGATTGGAGGAAGTCTCATTAACAACCTGCGTTATAGAGATGACACAACCTTGCTTGCTGAAAGTGAAGAGGACTTGAAGCACTTACTGATGAAGATCAAAGACCACAGCCTTCAGTATGGATTGCACCTCAACATAAAGAAAACAAAAATCCTCACAACTGGACCAATAGGCAACATCATGATAAACGGAGAAAAGATTAAAGTTGTCAAGGATTTCATTTTACTTGGATCCATAATCAACACTCATGGGAGCAGCAGTCAAGAAATGAAACAATGCATCGCATTGGGCAAATCTACTGCAAAAGATCTCTTTAAAGTTGTCATGGATTGAATTGTGTCCCCCAAAAATATCTGTCAACTTGGCTGGGTCATGATTCCCAGTATTGTATGATTGTGTAGTCTGATGTGATTTCCTTATGTGTTGTAAACTCTATCACTATGAGATTATATGTGATCTCCTTATGTGTTGTAAATTCTATCAGCGTGATGAGGTTATACTGATGAGGTTGACAAGATTAGTTAGTGTCTTAATGCAGTCTCTTTTGAGATATAAAATAGAAGTGAACAGAGACACATGGGAACCTCACACCACCAAGAAAGCAGTGCTGGGAGCAGAGGGCATCCTTTGGACCTGAGGTTCCTAAGGAGAGAAGCTCCCAGACCAGAGGAAGACTGATGATATGGACTTTCCTCCAAAGCTGATGGAGAAAGTGTTCCCCTGGAGCTGATGCCCTGAATTTGGACTTGTAGTCTACTGGACTGTGAGAGAACAAACTTCTCTTTGTAAAGCCATCCACCTGTGGTATTTCTGTTAGAGCGGCACTAGATGACTAAGACAAAAGTGTTAAAAAGCAAAGATGTCACCTTGAAGACTAAAGGACACCTGCCCAAGCCATGGTGTTTTCAACCACCTCAGATGCTTGCAAAAGCTGGACAATGAATAAGGAAGGCTGAAGACGAATTTGAATTGTGGTGTTGGCAAATTATATTGAATATACAATAGGCTGCCTAAAGAACGAATAAATCTGTCTTGGAAGAAGTACAGCCAGAATGCTCCTTAGAAGCAAGGATGGCGAGACTATGTCTCACATACTTTGGACATGTTATCAGGAGGGATCAGGCCCTGAAGAAGAACATCATGCTTGGTAAAGTAAAGGTCGTGAAAAAGAGGAAGACCCTCAACTAGATGGACTGACACAGTGGCTGCAACAATGGGCTCAAGCATAAAAATGATTGTGAAGATGGTGCAGGAGCGGGCAGTGTTTCTTCTGTTGTACATACGGTCACTATGAGTCGGAACCGACTAGACAGCAACTAAGAATATTACTCTTAGTAAAAATTATCAACAATTAAAGCCTCACAGCTTGTTCACAAATAGTTGATAATGATTTTGTGACTTGGAGAAGGGGAGCTGGCATTTGGGAATGCGGAGAGGTATCTTCGATTTGCAGATTTAACACCAGCCCTAGAAAGAGGTAAGAAGGGCGCACAGGGTGGTAGATTCCCGCATCAGGAAGCCTCGGGGGAAACCAGATCCCCTGGGGGCATCCAGAGCCCATCCAGCCAGGCTCAACCCGTCGGGCTCTGTGGGGAGGTAGGGGGGAGGTCCTGAGAGCTCCTCCCACTAGCATCCCCAGATCGAGTCGGACCCACCCCACAATGTGTTCGTGACGCGGGGCTCTGGGTTCGAGGCGAACTCGCCGCGATCGGGGACGAACAGGACGCCCGGAATTTCGGCTGCCCGTGCGGCGTCGCGCTGGGTACGGGAAGGCAGAGGGCCGAGCCGCCCGTCCGCGGAATCGGAGCCGGAGACCCCGGAGTGTAGGCGATGGGGTTCAGGCCTCTCTCAGGCTAGTTTCAGCCGGTTGGAATCGGCCCCTCCCCTCGAATCTGTCTTTGGAGACGATGCCCGCGCTCACCATCTCGCCGCTTCCGGAGCCCTCCGGCGTCCTCTCCGCGGGAAACGGGACACCGCGGACTGAGCAGCGCACGCCGGGAGCCTTCGCGCCGTGACCGCGCGGGGCGATGACGTCTGAGCGGGTTTGTGGAACGACATCCTTCCTTGAGGCCCCTGATTGGATAGTTTTCCAGATTCCGCCCAGGCGCTCCTGATTGGACAAACAGGCCTCGCCCCCTGCACGATGAAAGTTGTGGTGCTTCCGCGGTCGCTCCGCTGAGCGGACCCGGCTTCCTCCATGCCCTGCTCCCGGGGCTTTCGCATTTAGCACACGCGCTCCGGCCCGGGGGGGAAACTGTCGTCTCCTCCGCAGCTGCGCGGCCTCCCGCGCTCATCCCTGGATGCAGGGACACAGGTGTGCTCACGAAACTCCAGTGTCTCAGGGAAAAACGAAAAACTTCCATTGCAGTCAGTGAGACAGAGGTATAATATTCTGACCATGCTATCTAATTTTAATCTGTATTTCTAGTCTAACAGCTATGGTTTCATAGCTCAGTGGTCAAAACAAGGATGTAAAACCATATGCCCCAAGTGGTCTTGACCAAAGACCATCTACACCCCTCAAAATACAAGTAACTGACAAAGAGCATTCCAAAGCTGAAACACTTGGCGTGACTGGGATTTCTAGCTAGGGCCCGAGCAGAATCCTTTCTCATCCTAAACGACTCCATCTTAAATTTCTAAGTGTCTCTGTGATACAATGCCGCTAGTCATTTTTGGCTCCCTACTCCCCTAGAGGAAGGGCTTCCGGTTAGAAATGGCCAATGGTAAAAAAGATGACTCAAGACCATGTAGGTATTAGAAGTCCAAAACATGTGGCCTAAATACTATCCAGTTCCCTGAAAAAGTCCCCTTCACCTTCCCCAGGTGAACTCTTTAAAATTTGTAAATAAATACTGACTCTTCAGATGAGGAGAAACAGAAACTACGCGGCAGTATGATAAACATTACCGTTAATAATAAGATAAGCTGAGGCTCAGATTGACACAGTGATCAAGCCTTCACAAACCCGCGATTGGCTTAAAAAGATATACGTGTCTTTCTTAGATTGCTTATAATGTGGTAATCTTAAGGGTATGTGAGGTAGGGACGATGGCAGGGTAGCTATGTCATCATTACCAGACATTTCTCACTCAGGGCAATTGCAGTTTAGTTACATCATCGTTTCCAGACACTGCTTAGTTTCATGGTTATGTATGCACGGAAAATGGCTGTTGCTAGGGTGGAAACGTCACTAGCCACAGAGGAGTCGCACTCAATCCTCAAGTCGGCCACCTCAGATCTTCTCAGGTACCTCAAATTTTAAAATCCCCCTACATAATGTTAAACTACTCATATTCTGGCACTTAATAAGCATGTCATGGATATGACATGGCTTTTGGAAACTAGGTTAGATACTAATTGGGAGAAATTGGTGTAAGAATCCCATTATTAAACAGTAATTGAACAACAGAGCAGGACCTCTCCTACCAATAAAGGGTCCCAATCCTGCAGCCTCCAAAATGGGGAATCACAGACAAGACAGAGTTTAAGATGATCCAAGGGATTCATAAAAAATAAATATATGCTTATAATTTTCACTGAAAACAAAAAGAGGATAGCTATTTATAAAACTTTGATGTAGATTTGTCACTACTGACTGTTGTTAGGTGCTGTCAAGTCAATTTCAACTCATACAGACTCCATGTGACAAAAGTAGAACTGCCTTGATAGGGTTTTCTTGGCTGTAATCATGGAAGCAGGCAACCAGGTCTTTCTCCCACAGAGCCCCTGGGTGGGTTTGAACAGCCAACTTTTCAGTCAGCAGCTGAGCACCTAACCATTGCACCACCAGGATTCTCACTACTGACTACTATTGGGCATATACTGGATTTCTGAATACTTGGAAGAAAAATCAGGTGTTCCCAAACCAAGAGGGTTCAATAGATTCCTAAGTCACTAACTCAATTCTGCACTATATTGGTAGTAAATGGATTTTCTAATTATATATTTATCAATATGTAACCATACTTTAGTTTTATATATTTCTGCAAGGAAGCCATGACTTAACGTTAATACAAAGAATAAATGCACAAATAAACAGTAATAAAAATTACTGTCTTAGTCACCTGGTGCTGCTCTAACAGAAATACCACTAGTGGATGGCTTTAACAAAGAAAAGTTTATTCTCTCACAGTCCAGTAGGCTACAAGTCCAAATTCAGGGCATCAGCTCCAAGGGAACGCTTTCTGTGTCAGCTCTGGAGGAAGGTCCGTGTCATCAATCTTTCTTTGGTCTGGGAGCTTCTCTGCACAGGAACCTCAGGTCCAAAGGATGCCCTCTGCTCCCAGCACTGCTTTCTTGGTGGTATGAGGTTCCGTTGTGTCTCTGCTCGCTTCTCTCTTTTATATCTCAAAAGAGATTGCATTAAGACACTATCTAATCCTGTCAACCTCGTCAGTATAACCTCATCACAGTGACAGAATTTACAACACATAAGGAGATCACATATAACCTCATCATAGTGATAGAGTTTACAACACATAAGGAAATCACATCAGATTACACAATCACACAATACTGGGAATCATGACCCAGCCAAGCTGATACACACATTTTTGGGGGGACACAATTCAATCCATGACAATTACAAAATTGACTTTTCTACTCCTAGAATTGATATTGTTCGATAAATTCCACATTCTGTTGGATCACCTTTCTTTGGAATGGGCACAAATATGGATCTCTTCCAGTCAGTTGGCCAAGTAGCTGTCTTCCAAGTTTCTTGGCAAAGACAAGTCAGCACCTACACCGCTGCATCCCTTTGTTGAAACATCTCAATTGGTATTCCATCAATTCCTGGGGCCTTGTTTTTCGCCAGTGCCTTCAGTGCAGCTTGGACTTCTTCCTTCAGTAACATCGATTCTTGATCACATGCTACCTCCTGAAACGGTTGAACATCAACCAGTTCTTTTTGATGCAATGACACTGTGTATTCCTTCCATCTTATTTTGATGCTTCCTGCATCATTCAATATTTTGCCCATAGAAAATTTCAAAATTGCAACTCGAGGCTTGAGTTTTTTCTTCAGTTCTTTCAGCTTGAGAAATGCTGAGTGTGTTCTTCCCTTTTGGTTTTCTAACTCCAGGTCTTTTCACACTTTATTAAAAAAATTTACTATGTCTTCTCAAGCCGCACTTTGAAATCTTCTGTTCAGCTCTTTTACTTCACCATTTCTTCCTTTTACTTCAAAGCATTCAAGAGCAAGTTTCAGAGTCTCTTCTGACATCCATTTTAGTCTTTTCTTTCTTTCGTGTCTTTTTAATGACATTTTGCTTTCCTTATGTATGATGTCCTTGATGTGGAAGAATGTCGAAGATACCAGGTACTGGCAAAAGAATGAACAAGTCTGTCTTGGAATAAGTACAACCAAAATGCTCCTCACAAGCAAGGATGGTAAGACTTTGTCTCACATACTTTGGACATGTTATCAGGAGGGAAAAGACCCTGGAGAAGGACATCATGCCTGGTAAAGTAGAGGGTCAGCAAAAAAGAGGAAGACCATCAAAGAGATGGATTCACACAGTGGCTGCAACAATGGGCTCAAACATAGCAAAAATTATGAGGATGGCACAGGACCAGGCAATATTTAATTCTGTTGTACATAGGGTCACTGTGAGTTGGAACCAACTCGATGGCACATAATAATGTAATATAATAACACAAGGAAGTTATTTATGTTTAAATTAATTAAAATGAAATAAAATTAAGAATTCAGTTCCTAAAAGGTTCTGCATCCCACTTTGATGAGTGACGTCTGGGGTCTTAAAAGTGTGAGCAGCCATCTAAGATGCATCAATTGGTCCCAATCCACCTGGAGAAAAAGAGAATGAAGAACACCCAAGATACAAGGAAAATATTAGCCCAAGAGACAAAAGGACCACATAAACCAGAGACTCCAACAGCCTGAGATCAGAAGAACTGATGATGCCCAGCTACCACCAATGACCACCCTGACGGGGAGCACAACAGAGAGTACCTGATGGAGCAGGAGAAAAGGGTGCAGAACTCAAATTCTAGTAAAAATACCAGACTTAAGACATGGCCCCCAGACTCTGTTAGCCCAAAACTAAAACCATTCCTGAAGCCAACTCTTAAAAGATTATACTGGACTATAAGACATAAAATGATACTCGTGAAGGATGTGCTTCTTAGCTCAAGTAGATACATGAGACTAAATGGGCAGCTCCTGTCCAGAGGTGAGATGAGAAGGCAGAAAGGGACAGGAGCTGGTTGAATGGACACGGGAAATCCGGGGTGGGAAGGAGGGATGTGCTGTCAAATTATGGGGAGAGCAACTAGGGTCAAATAGCAGTGTGCGTATAATTTTTGTATGAGAAACTAACTTGAATTGTAAACTTTCATTTAAAGTACAATTTAAAAAAAAAAAGAAGAAAAAAAATTCAGTTCCTAAACTGCTTTAGTCGCATCTCAGGTGCTCAATAGTCATATGTAGTTAGTAATTTCAACATAAGCAGTGCGGAAATGTGACATTTTCCTTTTCATCACCACAGAAATTCCTATTGCACAATGCTGGAAGGTGAAGTCTTATGTTCCTATGAAACCATTTCAAACTTCCAACCATTTCTGAATACCCTGTTCTTTATTCTGTAACATACAACCTGGGTAATCCGTTATACTTATCATATTAATTGAATATTGTGAACATGTACATATTTATTCCTTTCTTCCTTCCTTTAAGTTATAATTGTTGAATGTTGACTGTGTCTCAGGCACTGGATTAGTTTTTCTCTTTGTATTAGTGAACGAAAGATCTTAGATATGCTTATACTCTAATAAGGGGGGTAGGGATTTAACAAAAACATATACAAATGAAACTCTACTTCTAATTGGGGTAAGGAGTGTGTGTATAATTTTAAATTTCGAGGTGTTGGTATGTCTGAATTAAGAGGAATTTCAGAACTAAAATTAAGCACACCATTCTGAAATAAACTGAGAATTTCTCTTCTGCTCTCCTGATAAACATTTGGCTTCTGTTAAGGTTTTACTGCTGGGGGAGGGGGAAGCTTAGTGCCTAATTATGTTATTACTTTTTTCCCTGGAACTGTACGGAACTACATAGTATTGCCAAAGATTTCCAAAACTTATGTGGGGATTCTCACATATTTGCTAAATTCAAGGTCCTTATTAATACTTACCAGCCCAGATTAGCTGATCTGTATCAATTAATCCATATGTTATTTGACCCTGGGTCAAAAATTAGA